CATTTTTCTGTAAGCAGAGTAGTTTAGATCAGTAGCAAACAGAATACCCATTCACTCTTTTTTTGGTGGGGGGGGCGGGGGAGGGGGGAATGGGACAGATCTTAGACTGGATTCTGCCATTTTTAAACCAGGTTGTGTGTGCTGAACTTCTGCTCTGTTACAGAAATAGACCAATTTCCAAGCACTTATACCAGCATAAGTGTAAAGTCTGTACGTGGCTTAAACAGTTTAAGAAAATGTAGGCTGTGGCACAAGGTGAGGAGGTCAAACAGGCATGAAGTTTTGAGAGGAAGTAATTACAGAATCATGAACCCTTAACAGCCCCATCTTGTCAATAGCTTCCCTTCTCTTCGCACTGCTAGCTGATGTTAATTGCACTTTCAAATTGAGAGAGGAAGCCTATGACTATCAGGTTCCAATCAACTACTGTCAGTTAAATTAAAAATGAGACATTGAATTGTACATGGAAACTAAAAACTGAAGCCCTTGCATATATTATACTATAGAATATGCAATACAAGCATACTGTAAAAAAGTGGATTACTGCATTCTGTGTTATTTGAAGCTTTGAATATTCTTTGGGTCCATAAAGAAAGCATGCTAGTAACCAGGTTTCAGGTGACAAAGGCAAAAATAACTAATGAGGCCCAAAACCTTCTAACCAGAAGCAAACTAAAGTAAAACAAATGTTCTTGTTTTAGGCAAAACAATTTTCTTTTGTCTCCTGCTGTTAAATCCATAAGAAAAGAACAAGACATCAGTAAATACCACCAGCCGAAACATCTGTATTGTGCTTAATGGCAAAGAGGGAACTGCAATCTAGGTGATGAATGGGATTAGTCATTAATTCATGAAGCAAATACTGCTCAAGTTCCTTCATCTAAAATTACTAAACAGCCTCCACGCATTTCAAAGTTAAAGTAAAAACTGTGCTTGAGACTAAAAACACTAGCTTTTTTTCCTATGTGGGGAAATGCTATTGATACTCATATATTTAAACTTAAGATAAGAAAAAGTTTACCTAGATAGAATGAGACAAAACCACGCATAGGCCAGGAGGATTTTCAGTTCATTTAAATAAGGAATTAGGGTTGATTGGCCTAAGGAAGCAGCAGTAACTTAAGTAGATAGATTTTCTTATCTTTTAACTCAGCATAGTTAATGTGGAAATTACTGACAGGAAAATAATGCCTCACAATGCTACTTTCTTTACTTTTATTAGGACTGAAGAAAGGAATGGGAAAAGGAAAAGTGCTGGGTTGTTTGTTTCGTTTTAGCTCATGTTAACAAGGAACCGATGAGCAAAAAGTTACTGTTGCTACTAGGTAAGTTCAGAAAACCATCAGGTTAAGGGTAGTTAAGATAACCAATCAAATTTATAAGTTTTCAATAGATCATATGCATTTCATTTATATATTTTAGTTGTGTGTGTATACATTACACGCACAACTAAACAGTATTTTGGTCACATATTCAGTCGACTGCAATCTGTCAACAATGAAATAACGAAGAATTTAACCACATATTTGCAATGAGTCTGTACGTCTCAGCACTGTTGAGAAGATACCTGTACTACACGAACACTTACGTAAATATTATTAAAGACTTGCTCTGATGGAAACTAACACCCTTCCAAAGGTTATAAATTCAAAGAGAGAATTTTTACAATAACAAAACTTAGTTGCAGCAGAATTTTTTAATATAGCAATAGCTATTATCCCAGAAGCTTGCTTTTGTATCTAAAAAAACCTGCCACATTCATAACATTTACATCAAGTTTGACGTGAAACAGCTTTTGAATGGCTCAAAATAAGAATTGTTGGCTGAATAATTATTCACTATAAAATTAAAAAACACAGCTCTTGTACGAATTTTAAAGCGTTTCCATTGTTTTCTGGAACATGCTGTTTTAGAAGTAGGAATCATTCACTCATGCAAAGCTAGAACACAAACAATATAGCATATATTTTCAGCTAGGCAAGCTTACCTCAATCCAAGAGCTGCTTAGCATGCTATGAAAATAGTCTGGAAAGAAAAAAGGTCAATTTGAGACATAAGAGGTAAGTTACTGTGAACAACACAGGCTAAAAATATTATATACGTACCAAGTCTTGCACAGAGTATGCATTTATGACAAGGGAATTCCTTTCCATCTACAGATTTCAGGGTCACATCACAGAGGTATGAACTACAAGACATTTAACACAATTTAGAATCATGACAATCCTGAAGCTACTGAGTAAATGTAAACTGTACAAGAGATTAAATTTCTTTTTTGATACATGAAACTAGATATTTTGATAGGTTTTGACTTACATTTCAAAGAAGGGATTGAATTACAAACACTTAGCTAGAAATATAACTAATATAACAAATTCTAACATTAATAGTAGTAAGCAAAAGGTAACCAAAGCAGAACAAGTTTCTCAGCGTTAAGATAACAAAAGAAGTAACATCCGTGAAAAGGACTCCCCCTAAAAGCAGGCTTACCTTCCTTTACCACTTCACAAACTATGGTCACATATTATTCAGCATTAATTCAAAGCCTTAACCATACACATACAATGATAGGCTTGAAGCAAGATTTATTTGTGGTTTTGTTTAAAACTTATCTTTGCTAACTTAAACTAGGATAGCTTGACAGCACATCTTTCAGAAGTGAAAACTATCCATTGATCTATGTGGGGCGAAAAAATGTCTGAAATGTTTTCTATGAAAGATTTAATACTTACTTAAACAGGAATAGTCTATGCCAAGGGTGTTCAACCCCCAGCCCACAGTCATCATGTCATCTAGCTCACCAGGCTCCCCATGGGTCTAACATGCTGCTGCCATTCCCCTACCACCAACTTAATTGCTACTCCTACGCTACCAAATTTTTAGACCCATGAAGATCCCAGAGGGCCAGATAACATGAGCAGAAAATCAGTCCTGGGGCCAGGCAAGAGCTGGATCTTGGTGCAAGTGACTGGGCCAAGGCTGCACAGGACTCAGTCCCAGCACCGACTGCATGGACTAGCCTCCTGCCACTCATCCAGCCTGCAAGCCTGAAAGGTTGAGCATTACTGGGCTATACTATGTAAAAAGAATTTCCCAGCACAAAAAGTAGTAAAGCATCAATTCAGGCACATTCCCCCACAGGAAAATGTTTCAGATATCATTAAGTAAAACTTGTACATTTCTAACTGCCTCCCCCATCTCTCCCCCACCCTCAAGAAACAGCAGCCATCCTAGCAGTCATGAATCATAATGCCTGCTTTGAGATGCACCCTAGTTATAGAGGGCTGACTCTTGGGGGAGGGGGGTAGAACACATGTGGTATGCAAGTAAATACAGTATACTGCATTAAGAGGCAGCAAAGAACTTACTGCTGATGAATGAGTGTCAGCTGCTGTTTTACCTGTTTTTTCTGTCCATTCCTATCCTACAATAAGTTAACACTAAGCTGCAATATAGTTCATCCTTCAACATAACAGGCAATATGTCCCCACAGTTTAGCTTCCACTTACTGCTAAACTAAGCAGACAATTAGTTGTAACTGTGCACTTATAAGCAGGCAGTTATGGTAGAGTCAGCTAACTTGCTTTGCTTCCCACCTTTTTAAAAATCAGTGCAATTGTTTTGTCTGTCTACAAACAGACAGGATTTTTCTCTAGATATTACTATTCTACAAAATAAATTAAATCTGTGAAAGTTGTGAATAAATAAAAGAATACATGAGTTTCAGAAAACGAATTAAGTGTCAATGATTAAAAGTCAGTATAAACAGAAATAAAAGAATTCCTGTCACCAGCTATGAAATGCGCATAAGTGTATGAACTCACTTTATAAGACATGAACTGTACAAGAGATGCATGTCACACATATACATGCATACATACATTTTTTTTTTTTTAAGTGCCAGATTCTAAAAGTAAGGTCACATTTCAAGATTTAAGCTTTCAGTTTTAGTGCTCTCACCATTTCTTCTGGTTTAATTTTGGTTTGTTTCCATTTTTCTTGTTGACAACATTAATTTTCCCATTTTCTAATCTGACTCCATCCAACCTGTAAGGCACAAATGCATATCTCAACTATTATCTAAATTATTGTTAGATTACATGGGTGAGATAAAGTAAGTTTGAAAAACAATACAACTTAAAAATTGAACATCTGTATGTAGCCTATGGGGAGAATCACTGGTCTCCTGGCAGAAACTAAAAGTTTATATAGATGTTGAAGCAAAAAAAAGCCACTCCAGGGAATCGGGGTTAAATCGCTCCTGAGAGTTACACCCAGGGAACCAAACATCTATATGCTTTCCCCAGGATAAACAAGAGAAAAAAGGCTTCCTGCCTTCCTGAAACTGGGGTCACCCCAGTTTTGAGAAGGTGTGGAAGGCAGCTGTTTTCCCTACCTTCCCACACAATGAGGGGAGAAGAGAAGCGAAGCAGCCATGGCTCCCTGCCTCTTCCCCAAACCAAGGCAGCCCTTGGTTTAGGAAGAGGCAGGGGACTTTGCCTGCTTCTGCTTCCTGCCCCTGCCACCCAGCCGACCAGCAGGGTGATGATTTAAAAGCCAGCACTCAGGAGCTGGGCTCTGGTAAAGTTTGCTGGCTCCTCCAGGAGCCTAGCTCCTTGCCACCCAGCAAGTGATGGGACAGCAATTTAAAAGCCAGTGGCTGAGAGCAGGCCATAGGTCCCTGAGCACTGCTCTCAGCTGCTGGCTTATAAAATTGGTGCCCCACCACTCAACTGGGCAAAACTGGAAGCCAAGTCAGGGAGACTTTCCTGGAGTCGATCCCAGCCACTGGCTTTTAAACGCTGCTCAGCTGAGTGGCAGGGCAGCAAGGGGAAGCTCATGGGAGCTGGCCTGGGGAAAACCTCCGCATGCTCGGGTCCTGGCCCCTTCAGCTTTTAAATCACCATCCTTGCGGGCTAGTAAAGTGGCAAGGAAGCTAGGGGAAGCTGGAGGGGCTGGAAGTAGGGTTGCCAACCCAAAAATGTTTTATACTGCAAAATTAACTGACAAGCAAGCTTGGGTTTTTTTGTTTTGTTTTGTTTTTGTTTTTTTTACTGATATCATGTTTTTAGTGGTGTATATTTTACATAATGTACATTTGCCAGGTCCTGCTTTGCCACCAGGCCTCAGAAGGGCTGGATTCAAATTAGGAGTTTAACCCCAAGCATAGCAAAAAACTAACTAAAGCTTAGTTATGAGTAAGAGAATCTTGGGCTGGCAAACCTGCTCATTTGCAATAAAAGTAACCACATTACTCTAATCCAGGGGTCCCCTATTCACTCTCATACCCCAACTGCACACTGAACCATGTTGCCCCTCGCAACTAACCCCCATCCTTACCCCAACTGGTCCTGCTGCCTCCAGCCTAACCCAACCAACTCCCAGAGAAACCTACCTGCAGCACAACAGTATTACAGGATGGGAAACAGCAGCAGCACATGGGACGCAGACAGAAGTGACATTTATCGTGCAATTTGCCACTTGAAATCGCCCTAAAGCCATGCCCAAACAGAAGAGTACAGCTGCAGAGCCCTGCAATAGCCATGGCAAATTAATCCTCATTATATGAAGGTTCAAATGAAGCTGCTCCTAAGTGAAGCAACTTAATTTGTCTGCTCCAGCTGCAGCACAGGAAACTGCAGCTACTGTCTCTGGATGGGAAGTCAGGGGAGGAGGTCCCTTCTGGAGTTCTCAGCTCCACTGGAGTGGGGGGGCTGGTAGATTGGAGCTCCTCAACTTGGGAGAGGGGGGATCTAATCTACCCACCCCTCCACCCCACTCCAGCGGGACTGAGAAAACGCCAGAAGGGACCTCATTCCCCTGCCTTCTCCCCACTCCCAACCAGAAACTGCAACAGAGCTGGGAGAGGCAGAACCAGGGGAAAATACAGCCTCTCTCTCTGGACTGGCTCCAAACTGGAGCCGATCTTCCACTCTCCTGAACCAACAACTAACATCTGTTGGATCAGAGCAATTGGTGTAATTCATGGCAATTTCTATGCCTCACCATGATTCAGATCCGGGAGCTGCACTTCTGTCTGTACCCATGGTTAGAAGGGGAGGCATTTACAAAGCCCTGAGAGGCGGCTTCCTGCAGTGCTGTGCACTTTCACTCAGGTACCAGGTGGTGTTGCTGTTCCCTGTCTGTCCTTCAATCAATCTCTGGCTGTCCAGGTTCTTTCCAAGTGGGAGCTTCACAAAGCAGCCAGAATTTGATTGTTTTTACTGACAGTTCTTTATTTATTTTTAATTGACTTTACAGATGGGCATTTTTAGCCTAACTTTTCACTTTTATCCTAAACAGTCAGTAAATTTATATAGATAGTTGGCAGCCCTGGCTGGAAGCCATTTGTACAGAAGCTTTCTACATCCTGGCTCCTGGGCCCTCCCATTTCCATTTGCTACCTGTGCCACTCAGCTGACCCAGAGCAGCAGGGGGCAAGGCAGGCTTCTGTGCCATGGCAGCAAGGATCAGCAGCTTTGCTGCTGCAGTGAAATGCTGCTGCCACAATCCATGCTTCTCTGGGTCAGCCAAGGAGCAGCATGGAGGCAAAGCAGGCTGCTATGTCCCTGCCACAAGGCTCCTGGAGCCCTTGGTGCACCAGCTGAGTGACCAGCTAATTGGCAGAACTCTCACAGGCCATCTGCAGCAGCTCCTGCTTCCCAGGCAGGGGAGAAGACAGACTGTCCAGTACTGGTCTCCCCTAATGGCTTGTCTGTGGAACTCTCCAGCCACAGGGCCTAGAAGAACGTCTGTAGATTGGCTCCCAGACTCTTCCTGTTGGAAGAGCCTTCCTCCCCAAACCCTGTTTCCAAGACAGACAGACTGTGCCAAACAGACTAGGAAGAGCTGCAGCAGAGGGGCTCTTGCTGCCGCTGGTTTCCAGTCCCCCCCGTGCCCCAGAACACTTCTCCTGGAAACAAGGTATGCTACACAATTCCACACATCTGCAGCAGCAGCGCTGGCTGTGGCACCCTTGAAAATGTCTTACAGCACTCCAGGGTCTCATGGCACTCTGCTCGAGAACTACTGATGTAGAAACATTATTTTGAGGGGGAGTTATTATTAAATGCAGTCTGTACCACAAGCCATGCCCAGCAAAAGTACTGCATACTGGGTCCATTTCAGAAGTTATATTATTTGCATCATCTATCAAACACATTAAATCTCTCAACGCATAGCCGGGAAGTACTTTCATATGCTATCTTGTGCAAGAGTCCCAAGACCTGCTAAGGTTCTGAGAGCAGCTTCTTAAACCACAAAAGCACTGAGGGATCACAAATGCAATACAGTGTCAAATAAGAGGGCACTTTAAAACTGTTTGTTTTCACACCACTGTCCATGTACTAGTAACCATTAAAATGCATCGTCTCTTGAAGAAGATCATGATACAATTACCTCAAACTCCTCCCAGCTGACATGTTTACAGAATATGTGAAAGTAAGAAATTAGAAGACATCTATCTAAACAGGTTTAGTAATGAGAAACATTTCCATTTTCTGGGTAGGCTGACATTTGGGTCAGAGAGATAATTCACCAAGCAGCACAAAGCTGAGAACTCAAAAAAAAAAAAATCCCTTAGCATACCTTATACTTAAATTGTCAAGTCCAAATTTCTTTGCAGTGACTTGCAACATTTTTATTGGGTTGATTTCTTCACCAGCAACTTTGCCTTTTTTAGAAGACTTAGGTTTGTTTTTCTGTCTGTCATTTATTACATGGACTTGATTACTTCTGTAAACCTCAAATGCAGACTTCTCATTAACATCTCCATCAAAACTCATTTTATTCAGGTTAGAAATTAGGGTATCATGGTAGTCTTCTGTTTTTTCTTTATACAGGATTTTTGGCTTGTAACCAGGTGTCAAAAGATCACAAGTGTCAGTGTACATGAACTGCAGAAGGTACCCAAACAAATCTGGATGAACTTTCTCTATCACATAAAGATCACATCCTACAACATCTTCATCTTTATGGTAGACTTTTGGAGAGTCTAGACAGTTGTCATCAGAAATGAATAGTTTCTCGAAGAAGTCAGAACGCATGGCCAAGATGTACTTGTGCACAGGATACGTCTTAGTGCCGATCTGAAACGTCACATCATGAATGTTGTCCATTTCATCAGTTTCTCTTAACAATTTCCTGAAGTCCTCAACAAAATTTGATGAGGAAACGCTTGGAATTTCATATAGACTAGAATACAATAAAATAATTTTTATTTGGTTGCAACTCATCAGAGCTATTTTAAGAGTAAAAGGACTCCCCCCACAATATTTAACTAGTGTATTTACTCTAATACAAGATGAGTGTGCCCCCCACCTCTTAAATCAGCATAGGGAAAAAAAAGCCCCTCACCGTACAATCACTTCCAAGAAGATCTCACTAAATACAGTGTCTATCATTAAACTGCTGTCAAAAGCACCATGTGCTCAGCAATGAAAACCAACTACAAAGTTGATTAAATGCACACAACACTAAGCATGACTATAAAACACACGGCCCACATCGGGCAAACATGCTCCTGGGAGCCTACCAAAAGGACAGGTTAATGCAGCCCATCTGAATAAGATATACAGTAGTGCCCATTAAGCACTGTCCCCCTCAATGCCAACTCTTTCTGCAAGTCATGGTGAGCCACGACATTGCATACAGCTCACCCAGAATGTTTTTGTTGTCCCCTCTCTCAAATCCGGTGCATATCATTAGTGTAGTTCCACCCTCCATGATGTGAAGCCAGACTAGTTTGCCCTATGTCTTATCTGCATATACACTTTTGGAGCCCCCCAGGACTTGTGACAAGACCACCCAATTCCAGGCATGAGTAAGGGCTAATTAGCACATGGATCCTTTGGGGGGGG